GAAAAAAGAAAAGATTTCATAATATCTCTATAAGAATAATATAATAACAGTATACAGATAAACATAATGATAAAAAATTAAGTATAATGATTACTTGTTCACCTAAATCATGTAAAATAATTTACATTGGTGACGTGAGGCTATTGGCTAGTATTAATTACTCGTACTTGATTCTCAAAGAGAAACAGAACATTGTTTTGAAAAAAAATATTTTTAACTGTTATTACTCATTCTTTTTAAGATAGACACTTCGTTAATAAACAATGCTCTTCTCTTTGATGAAATTAAGAACGAGATAAAATCTATTCATTTATACAACTGTACACCCTATCATCATTATCTATCATCATCACACTTATTTGCATAAAAAAAAATAATTGAACTGTTAGAAGTTCTGCTGACGTTTTCGTTTGGTATCCATAGCGTCAAGAATCGGTTGTCTCTTCGTTTGATACCTTCTTCTCAACTCATCTATTTCTCTCTCCATTTCCGCATCCAAATTAGCCATTCGTTGCTGTAATTCCTCGTATGAGAGAAACTTCAGCTGCAGGATATGGTTGTTTATCTATATTCAAGTTTTTTAAAAAATGCCTAAAGTGGCACTCAATTGATTTTAAATTAAAAAAAAATATTAAAAATACTAAAAAAATTTTAATTCATCTTTTTTGAAAATTAACAAATGTTTATTACTTACGAAATCGAAATCACGTTCTGTAAAAACATTTTGGAACTTGGATATGTTATTATGAGGCTGTTCTTGTATAGGATGAGAAATCTGATTAAGCTGTAATTGTAGGTGACTTTGAAACCTCTGTGATTCCGTGGGGCTTCGTAATTCTAGTTTATTTTCATTATCTTGATTGTGTACTCCAAGTATTTGTCCATTACCCTAATATGTGAGAAATAATAATTTCGTGTATATATATATATATATATATTATATTTTGCATAATATATTTATATTTTTATATTTGATATAAAATGCATACGTGTATAAATCTTACCTTTCCTATTTCAGGTGCTTCTTTTTTATCAAAATGATCTAAAAATAATGGCCGGTATTTTTTTCCGGACTCTACTGACCCTGTATTATGCCCTGTGAATAATCAATATTTATTATCCTTATTCTTCATTATTGTTTTTTTCATTAAACAATTTCTTCTTACGTTTCATAGTTGCTTCGGTATCGGTGTCACTATTAATAACCATTGTTCCCAAATCTAACATTGCAGAAACAAGTGTACCCGTATCTGGAAGATCATGACTCGGAACTAAAGTTCCCGTGTCTTCTGGCAGTGGTTTCATTGTTCCACTACAATCTTCTTCATCCTTATAATAGACATCATTTATTATTAATATATTAGTATATGTTTTTATATATAATAGCATTTATAATAATAAATATCAATATATCAAAAATAAATACCGAATCTTCTGTTTGATTTTGATTTTTAATTGCCACATTATTTATGACATGGGCACGATGTGCGCTTTGTTTTTCTCGTATTTCATGAGCTTCTGCAATCATTTGACTAAGAATACTTGGTTGCTTGGCATTACCTGTAATATTAAATATAAAATTTTATTGTATGAATAAAAAAAAATAATTTTGTTTCATTATCACAATTATATTTCACCTATGAATTCATGATTTAACAGTTCAGTTGCTGTAGCTCTTTCTTCTGGATTTTTAACAAGGCACCCACTGACAAAATCTATAAATTCAGGACTCCATTGATCAGGTTCTCTAAAGCTAGGTGGTGGTTTAGTTGGAATCATAAATATTGCTCTCATTGGATGTATATCACCATAAGGTGGCTTGCCTTCTGCCATTTCTAAAGCAGTTATACCAAGAGACCATATATCTGCCACACAGTCATATCCAATTTCTTGTATTACTTCTGGAGCCATCCAAAATGGAGTTCCTATAACTGTGTTACGTTTTGCCATTGTATCCTAGAAAAATTTTTAAAATTAATTTTTAATTCTATTGATCAAAAGATTTGTTTTATATAATGATAAAAAAATCATATAGCTTACAGTTAATTGTCCTGCTACTCCAAAATCAGCTAATTTTGCATGCCCTTCATTATTGAGTAAAATATTTCCTGCTTTAATATCTCTATGTATTTTTCTTCTCAAATGAAGATATTCCAAACCTTTTAAAGTATCACTGAGAATTGTTGCAATTTCATCTTCTTGTAAAGTTTTTTTTCTTAACCTCATAATATCACTAACAGATCCAGCTCCACAATATTCCATTACGATCTATGAAATTATATTTTGATGAATACAAGCAAAAGATAAATAAAAATATTTTATTATTATATTGTTAAAATTACCCATAAATCAGTATTTTTAAAGTAGCTTCCATAATATTTAACAACATATGGAGAATCACATTGTTGCATAATAGAAATTTCTTTTATAATTTCTTGTAAATCTGTATCAACAGGTACTTGTTTAATGGCAAGCACCTGTCCACTTTCTTTATGCAATGCTTTATAAACTGATCCATAAGATCTATACAAATAAAATATAAGACAAAATTTTAAATATCATTAATATTTATTTCTAATAAATTGATTTTATTAAAAAATATTGAATATATTCCCATACATATTTATTTACTTACCCTTCTCCTAATTTGCATATTATATCAAATACTTCTTCAGGTTGCCTGGTTAAACTTTCTTCAGACAATTTTTTTAATTCACTGAAAAAAAAAATAAAATTCCTAATCACATAAATGATATTTATATTGTATGATGTACAACAATTTAGATTTACTTTTATTTTAATTTTTATATTAGAAATTATATTATACAAAGTACTTGTAAAAGCTCTATATCATATAGTTTTCTACATGAGTCTACATATAGTTTTATCATTTTTTATTAATATTAAAATATAAATACATTAGACTTTTAATTTCTATAATAATAGAATAAATTGAGATATTTTCAAAATTATTACTTTTTCAATTTAAAATTTATTAAGAAAAATTAAAATAAATTTAAGTATAATAAATAATATTAATAAATTGATAATGTGCAGGTTAACAAAGAAACAAAGAATCAATACTGTATAATTGTTTAGTATAACAAGTGAAACGCTCAAAAGATTGAAAGACGATTCCTCTTAGCTACAAATAACTTCCACCTGCAAGTTCGTAAAGTTCTGCAAGTTTAAAAACACGAAGTAAAAACAATTAAATACCTCTTCGAAGACATTTTCGCTTTTCGTGTCAATAGGTTTTTACTTGAATAAAAACACTTTTAATATTTACATAAATAACTTAACGTGGATAAAACAGATATCATTCCGGTTGTAAAAACATAGTCAATTTAAAATAGAAGTGTTACATTTTTGTCAATAAATTAAAGTAACCATACAACCGAAATATCGAAAACCATTGACCATCTAATATTCCAGATAGCAGAGTTGATAAAATGTCTGTGAACTTGCTTAGATTGATTATATACTACCATTATTTATTATTTCACTTATCATAAGGAGACAAATAGAAATAAAAATAAAAATAAAAGTAGAATTAAATTTTCATTTTAAATCGATCAAATGTCATATTTTTAAGAGATGAGTTCATTAAAGTAAATTATATCTAAAAAAGATTTAAATAAATAATAACCAATCATCACGTAACTACATATGCGACATTGAAGTTTTCTTCATCTTGTAAATTATACTTAAAATATGAATTGAAAATATTATTTAAAATGGAAAAAAAAATTAGTTTTTGAAAAATGATTTAAAAATGTATTTATATTTTTCATTTTTGTTATTGTTAATGAAATTAAACTTGATGTTTAAATAAAAAAAAGAAATCAGTATTTTATAGTGTGAAACAGACTGAAATGACACCGAATCAAAAAATATGAATCCAATTTTTTAGAATTATATCGAATTTTCGATCGAATCAGGCAAAAATAAATTGATCAATAGAAATGAAATTAATTAATAAGAAGTTTCAAAAATATGATAAAAAATTATTATTAATAAAAATATATTATACATTTATAATTTATTAATCTTATAATAAAATCTATAAATTTCTTAATTTTTTTATTCATCGAATCTTTTAAATCGATTAATAGCAAATAATAATAGTAGTTATTATTTTATTAAATTATTATTTTAACTTAAAGATAAGATAGATAAAAAAGTTATATTAATTGAAAATATGTATTAATTGTGTTAAGAATTTTGAAAATACCGCCAGCATATATATAGTACAAGTAACGAACAACAGAGGGAGCGGAAAGCTGAGCATCGCTTGAGCACACGAGAGTTTCTAGGCCCTGCACGTAATCGCGTGTCCACGCACGGTGAACGCTAGCACTCGTTTGCTAGACGGCCGGCTAGCAAAACGAGTCGATTTCTCCTGGTGCGCGATATCGCGGTAAGAGGTGGAGGAGACGTTACTCGTCGAGAAATTGGAGGGTATTGTCGAAGGCACCGGTTACGAGGGGACCTTGTGGTAGTTAGACAGGAAACGATAGGAACGAGATAGAATAGGCGAGAAGACGGAAAGGAGAAAAGAAGAAAAGAAGGAAAGAAAGAACGGTGGAAGAAGAGGAAGAGAGACGGAAATAAAGAAGAACGAAAGGTAGCCAGAGTGTACAGGACACACGAGGAGAGAGACGACAGGGCGAGAGAAAGACACACACGAAGCGCGTTAGAGTGCGTGATCCAAAATGGCGCTGAACCAGGACGTGGACCAGTTGTCGAAGAGTAATCTCGTGGTAAGGATCGATCAAAACTCCGAATCGGATCTACAGGCGCTATTCGACAGCGTCCTGAAGCCAGACTCGAAGCGTCCGCTGCAAGTACCATTGCGCATGCGCAATCTACCAGATTCCTTCTTTAATCCACCGTCGACGGGTAGCAAAAGTCCCTCGATCTCGCATTCCCGGGAGAATTCGGCAGATTCGGCGTTCGGTACAGCAGCCGCGGCCGCAGCGGCAGCGGTCGGCGGCGGTGGGCCAACACCCGGTGGAAACGCGACTGGTACACCGGCTACCGGAGCAGCAGGTGCGGCTACTGGTGGAAGTGGAAATAGCGCTGGTAGCGGATCAAACGCCGCAGGTGCGGCCGCGGCTGGCCTTACCGTAGCTCATCCTCGCGCCCACAGCAGCCCGGCTTCTCTTCAGCAAACCTACGCCTCGGCTCAGCAGGCGCCTCAGCACGCGCCTCAACCGCACGCGCGTCACCATCATCACCAGAAGCAACGCAGCTACGACGTCATCAGTACGGTCGACGACCTAGGTCCCCTGCCGCATGGATGGGAACAGGCGCGCACCCCCGAGGGACAAATCTACTTCCTCAAGTGAGTCTACTTTTCTTCTATTTTTTCCCTTTTTTTTTTTCTCATATTTTATTTTTTTCTTAACTTTCTGTCTCTCTCTCTCTCTCTCTCTCTCTGCTCCTTCCCCCCTCTCCTATACCATCCTGTTTTTACGTTCCCGCCCATTTCATTCGTTTTTTTTACATCGATACATATAGATATTTTCATCGATTTCTGGAAATTTTTCGAAGATGTCTATGAAATCTGGTTGGTTAAGATCAACGGAATCCTCGTTAACGCTCTTAAGGTTTCCTCTATAAACGTAAGTTTCATGTTGCTCGATCCTCTTAGGGCATTACACGAGAACGAGAAAATAGGAAGGGAATACCGGCATCGATCTGACATTTTCTTAGCGATTTCACAATGTAATTGACTCATTTCCAAATGGTTCCTATCTAGAATAAACGATGCTACTTCGGATCGGAGCAATTCACCGCTGTATACGCGACTACTGCTTCGTATTTTCGCCGTGTTGGGGTCCCACATACCTCAAGGCCGTTACTGTCTTTATCACCACCTCGTCTTACTCATCGTTGTTTCTTCGTTCCTCCATTTCTCAGCCGTCTCTCCCCACCGCGAGCGGTTCGTCATGTATCCTCGTTGTCCCCGCCATCCCGTTTCCTCATCTTTCTCTTTGCTCGGATCTCCTTGTCAATCTCGTGCCGCCTACTCGATACCTCCAGTCCCTTCCCCAAGTTTCTCTTCCATCTCGCTCGTTTAACCTGATCCACCTGCACCGTCACTAGGATTCCCACGTGTCACCTGTCGTGGGAAACGCTCCTCGTATGCTTTGTCGCCTCGTTCGTCTCCTTCCACCCACCTGTCTTTCACCGACTCGGACGTCTCTCTCTTTTCGAATCGTCGCGTCTAATTTCCAATCTTTCACGAGTTTTTTGACGCTCGAAACAGACAGAAGAGAAGAAGTTTTAAATAATAATCGTCAAAATCGTTCGTTCCCTTTTTAAAAACGTATTTCGTTTCGTATGTATTCGTTTATCGATCGTTTATCGAAGGTATATATAAGAATTGGAAAGATTAAACAATCGTCGTGTATCACCTCCTTCGATTTCTTCGAGTTCACGTGTTTTCCTTCGAGTGTCGATCGATCGACCGCGTTACACTTTCCTCCTTGTTTGCTTTGATGTCCGATTACGATTTCGTTGATCGAGTAGTTGATGTCACGTCGAGATATCCCCGGGTTGATAATCGATATGTTTCACCGTCGATAACGAGTATACGTACCTGCAGACGAAGGGATTCTCGTTTATATATATATATATATATATATACACCTGTACTTTTATAAATATTCATCGTGTCTCCTCTTGAATGTTCGCCTTTCTGAAAGCCGATTGAAAAGGGCTTTCATTCGCATTCTCTGGTATTGTTCTTCGTCTCGTTTCCTAAGTTATTTTCTTTTTTCTTTTTCTTTTATTTATTTGCTAACGCGAGAGAAACGATTCACAGAGAAGATGGAAAAAACTCGAGAAGTTTCTTCGTCCTTTTGTATGTATGCATCTTCTTTCAGAGGGATTTACCTGAGGTTAGAACCGTTTATTTCTGTTTCACCTGCAAATTCTACCTGCCGCTAAAAATCGTGAGAACACTTTAGCCAGGGTCGATTTTTAGTCGAATACCGAGAACTGCGTTCATTCAAAGCATCCCTTTCCTCGATTCTTCGTATTCCAAATTTTCCGACTTAACGTCGGAAATCCTTTTTTTCTCTCATTCAAAATTTAAAGCATCATTTCGTGAAAACAATCGGTTCAAGGAAATCTATCTATGACCCTACCTTGAAAATATCGGTTTCTCGATAAACGACACTCAGCAAGCTCGAAAGCGGTATCGCCAAGATCGTCGCGGTTTCATTCCGTTTAAGAGGAATTTCTTTCAGGGAAATTACGTTTCCATTTACGTTCCACGATTCCACCGTGTGAAACTCGGATCGACGTCGCCGCGTGACGAACCTTTGCTCGAGATACCATCGTGAAAGTCGTAAAACACATCGATAATTATCGTACAATGAATATCGAACAATTTTCAAATAATGTTTGACGTTCATTTTCAATGAGCAGCCTGTTTTTCCATTAATCGTTATTTAATCGCTCCATAACGAAACGTCCTTAATCCATTTCTCGAACTACCTGGAGTCGTACCGAAATGTTACGTAAAAACGTAATTAGGCAATCTATTCTGCCGATCTCTACTGCCCGTAATTTCTACTACGTCGCCGTTCTCCACAGCCAATTCCAGTTTTGTAAAACCGTTCACAACCGTATTCGTGTTTTTCACTAAAAATCGAGTTTCCTCGCTCATTTGCTTGTCGATCGCGTTACCATTCGAAATCGTGCGAAATTTTAATCTATGTTTCCATAACACCGAAGCTTCTGAAATCGGTTAGATTAGATATTGTCCATTTGCGATGCTGGAAACGGAATAAAAAAGTAAAGAAAAGAGAGAAGCGACTCAACGAGCAATTATTCAGCAATAAAATCACTAGATATCGACATTAGTTGATCGTTTTCAGCAGGTTCGTGTTTCCAATTCGTGACTATTCTTTACGTGTAAATATCGTTTAATCGTTGATTATCGTAATCATGGACCAGTAATACTTTGAATTGTCGTGCGTGGAAGGAGAAAAATCGTGGCATTCCCCCGATAGACGTAACACACAGCGGCCGCGAGGAGAGTTGGTCGGTAATGGCCGATGGTAAAAGAAGTGCAGCCAACCGAGAGACGCATGGTTGTTGTATTATGCAGTAATGACTGCCGTGACGGCACCCGTGTCTTCTCTCTGTTATTCCTCTTCTCTCGCGCCGTTCGTCCAATTACCTCTGCTCCGTCTCTTCGAGCTTTTGGATCTTATCCAGAAGCGGGACTTATTAGAATCTAATTTGCGTAATTGAAACGTGATTCGAGCCGGGAACAAACTGATTTCTTGAAACCCTTCTAGGAAGTGTCTCTCTCTTTTCCGTCTCTCATTCTCCGTCACCGTTTCCTCTCTTGCATTCTAGGTACGGTATATATATTTTCGCGAGAAAATAACGCGAAAAAAAGAAAAGAGAATTATTACTCATCGCGCCTTTGTCGATTGACGCATGATTACCGCTGAATTTTCACGAAAAAATGAGAATTGAGAGAAAATTTCTCTAGAGTGCACGTACAATTTTTTTCCTCGGAGTTTTAGTTTGCCGCGGTTGGCGGGCAGATTGCTCGTTACCTCGCCGTATAATGTTATACTTGGGTCCCGTTAGCTAGGCTCGCGTATTACATACTAGCGAGGAGGAGCAACTGTATTCCGACGAAACGAAACGACTTTGCGAACCAGCCGGAGGGAATTTTTTTTTCTTTTTTTTTTTCCTTTTCCTTTCCTTCTCTCTCTCTCTCTCTCTCTTCTCCTTTTCATCGAGAGGACGTAAACAGTCCTTCGGCATGGCCTGTTCCCTCTTCGACGCGGGTAAAGAGACGGGCGATGCGCATTCGTTCGCTCGCTCGTTCGTTCGTTCGTTCGTTTAAACGCGAGGCGTGTAGACGCGTGCCTCGGAACGAAAGGTCTTGCCAGCTCGAGAAACACGTTTCACCGCCAGGTGAACACACGAGACACGACGAGCAGGCATCCAAGGTTTTCCGCCAACTGTATCATTTGACGAAACATTAGTCACGAGCAGAGTCACATTTTACCAGTGGAATTCGCTCGGCTCGCCGTTTATTCGCTCCTACGGATCTCGTTTGCCGAGCCTCTTTGCCAAACTATGTTATTCCTCTCTTTCCATTAAAGCATGCCCGCCGAATTTTGCCAAATTTCTTTCCAGACTTTTCGCACTCGTCGAGAATTCGAATCAGAAATCGAATCATCCACGAGCGGATTAATAAATGGATACGACGAGATTGGAAAATAGGTTGTTCGCATTAGTCAGAACGAATCTATCGGGAAACAGCTTGGCGGCTATTGCGCATATTTCGCACGAGTCTTTCCGCTATCTTGATCTTTACCCGATATGCATTTTCTCGCGTGATCGAATGTTGTTTGAAAATCGAAATGTTTTGTCGATCGTTGTTTCTACGCAGTTAGGCCAAAGAGTCGAATAATGCACGGGGAGCATAAAACGTAAGCGGGTGAAACGTAAATGGCAATTGATTCGCGACTACTTCCTTGTGTTACAGCGAGAAGTAATGCGAATCTTTCGCAAACTCGTCGATAACGGGCACGAGGAGAGGTGATCCGTGAGCGGAGTGGAACGCCGCGACATATATCAGAGCCGTTTTCCTCGTAAATTCATTTCGAGGACGTTTAGTACATATGCATTTTCGAATGCAGTGAAAGTTGGACTCGCGCGCGCGCGCCTGCGCGACATCGGCATCCTGTTGCGTTCTCAGGGTCAGTTCGACAGCGCGGACACGCGCTTCAATTTTTCCCGATATTTCATGCCCCGATATTTTCGTTCGTTTTTATCTCGTCGTGTCCTCACCTCGACAAACCTTTTATCTCGAGAAGAAAAAGAAGAGAGAGAGAGAGAAAGAGAGACGAAAGGCTGTTCGAGAAATTCGAGAAGAAACTATGCGGTGATTGCTGCGTGAAACGACCACGTTTTCCGCACCGTGTCGAACGGGAATAATCCGTTTCTCGTTTGGCGTGCCGCGTCTCGAAAGACGTTCCTCTCGATAAGCGAAAGGTACGGAACGATAAATAACACATTCGTGACGCGAGGAGAACTAAAAACGCGAGATAAACGACACACGGCAGACTTTATTTTACGCGCGCGTCACGTTCGATCTATTTGTATTACGACGTACCGTGTAGCATTTACTTGGACGCGCGTGTGCGTGCGCGCGGACGCGAGCGTAACAGTTGCATCGTACGTATTATGCCGCGTTTATAGTAATCGGCGTTTTATACGGAGGGAGTAGGTCGTGCTCTTTTCCGCAAACGTGTTATAAACGTTAAGGCGTATTCTCGCATAAGGATCTCGGGCCTTTTTACTCGGCCCACTCTCGGGGAGGCTAAAGACCCCGACACACCTGTAGACGAGAGAATCTCGAGTCGCGAACGCCGGATAGGAGGACAAATCTCCGGGAATACCTCGAATGTATCGAAAGTTCAAGGCGAACCGAGGTGTCCTCCTCGGTTCGCCTTGCTCTCGCCGCTTCCTTCGATTCCTATTTCTTTTTCTTCTTCCATCCTTTCGAACGAACGTAAGAGTCACTTCAAAGAGTTTTTTCTTCCCCCCTCCCCTCCCCCGAATTTGAAGATGGATATCAAGCAATTCTCGATCGAATCGAAAGTCGTAAAGGAGTTATTTTTTTTTTTTTTACGTTATTACATTCGATATTCTTTCATAATCTTTTCGTTCGTGGACAAAGGTCTATAGTTTTAATGTTTAATATCATCGTGATATTTATTTGCAGATTTCTTTCTGCATAATAAAAAGGTGTGTTTCCGATTTAGATAACGGCGAAATTTTTCCCAGACAATTTCGTTAATTATCATTTACAGCGCGTTAATTGGCCGGTAAATATCGCTACGTATTTATTCGTGTTCTGCTGGTGCACGGTGTGACGGCGATGTTTCGCGCGCTACGTTTAATTTATACTCTCCCGAAGCGAAGATTCTCAATTGATACGCTGCGCGTCGTGTCTCTGACGCGTAGCTCTGTTCATTCAAAGAGGCCTTTGCTTTCTCCTATACGCTGTATCTAGCAGTATCGGCCGGTAAAAACAAGAAATATTACGTCCCTCCCTGTTTTGATCGCCCGATTTTCGAGCTGAGACAATCCGATGCTCTAGAAAGAAAAAAAAGAAAGAAAGAGGAAGAGGATAAAGGGAAATACGTATAGCACACGTATATCTCGTGGCGCTTTATTCGTTCTCACAGGCCATTAAAAGGGCGCGTTTGGAGGTCGTTTCGATGATAAAATCGAGGAGCTAGGAGATCGGTTGTCGTTTCTCTCTCTCTCTCCTCTCTCTCTCTCTCT